GGAGGAATTGGTCTTTCCATTCATAATATACATGCAACAGGAAGTTATGTTTGTGAAGAAAATGGGACTTCCAATGGAATAATTCCCATGCTCCGAGTATTTAATGATACTGCTCACTATGTAGACCAAGGGGGTGGTAAAAGAAAAGGTATCTACACATAGTTTCATTCTCCTATGTAATTTGTTTATCCTATAATTTTTGTTCTTAATCTTATTCCAATCATGTATGAATCTGATGAATAATGTGAGTATAGTTCCATTTTATATGCATGCAAAATCATGTCTAGTTTATGGTTAAAAGTTGCTGGGTGCTGCTGTATTTTGATGTGAACTTTTATTTCCTCAATTTAGGTGTTTTCGCTATGTATTTAGAACCATGGCGTGCTGATATCTTTGAGTTTCTAGATCTCAGAAAGAACCATGGAAAGGTACTGTTGAATGTACTCATATGCTAACCTATAATACTGCCTCATATATTTTTCCTTATTCACTTTTATGGTAAGTTATGAGAATTCTGCTTATTTTTACCGAAAGCTTCTAGTTTTAATACGTTAACTCTTGTTCTTTCTTGCAGGAAGAATGTCGGGCTCAAGATCTATTTTATGCTCTTTGGGTTCCTGACCTTTTCATGGAAAGGGTTCAAGGTGATGGAAAATGGTCCTTGTTCTGCCCTTCTGAAGCTCATGGTCTAGCTGATTGTTGGGGTGAAGAGTTTAAAAGATGGTATACCCAATATGAGAAGGAGGTAATGAGACTATTTTCCTTATCGGTCAAGATATTAGCCTTCACATTGTTGGTTGATGGTTATATCCGTTTTTTTTTGTGAACTCGGGGCAAGACAAGAATGCTTATCCCTGCGATGAAACTATGGTTTGAGATTCTGAATTCCCAAATTGAAACAGGGACTCCTTATATGCTTTTCAAGGTATTCATTTTTTTTTCTTTTTATGTATTAATTTTAAACCTTATATTTTTTCCAAGATATCTTCGTTTTTTGATGGAGGCTCATTACAATAATTCGTGGTTTGAAATCTTTGTTTTTTTGTCCCTTATATCATAGTTTTGCATGCACAGGACTCTTGCAACAGGAAAAGTAACCAGCAGAATCTATGCACTATCAAAGTCCTCCAATCTATAGCACTATCAAAGTCCTCCAATCTATGCACTGAGGTTATTGAGTTCTCAAGGCCAGCAGAAACTGCAGTGTGCAATCTGGCATCTATTGCCCTGCCCAGATTTGTCAGGGAAAAGGTAGGCCTTTTAGATCTTTTTTGTTGTCAAATAATTCTTGATAGTGTATGATTGACTTTTTGTTTCGTTTAGGGGCTTCCTTTGGAGTCACGCTCATCAAAGCTTGTTGGAAGTAGAGGTTGGAAGAAAAGATATTTTGATTTTGAAAAATTAGCAGAGGTATTTTACTGTTGATGCTCTGTGTACAAAAAGTGATTGTCACATATAAAAACAAAATAAGAAGCACGTGGATGCATATTTGTTTCACTGGGCTTGTCTATAAATGTTACAATTTAAACATCAAACTTTTATTTGCTGTCTCCTTGTAAAGTATTTCTTCCTCTATGTCAGGAATATTTGGACTTTTGAAATGGCCTTTTTTTCTCTGATAGGTTTCCACAACTGTTACTACAAATCTCAACAAAGTCATTGATGTCAATTATTACCCAACTGAAAGTGCAAGGAGGTCAAATGCACTTCATAGACCCATTGGTATTGGAGTTCAGGGTCTGGCTGATGCCTTCATCCTGCTTGGCATGCCATTTGATTCTCCAGAGGTTGCTCTAATTTATTTGATTTGTTTTTACTAATTGATTTAGCTTAATTTAAATCTTGCTTTGTTGAATACAGGCTCAACTGCTAAATAAGGATATATTTGAGACCATCTATTACCAGGCATTGAAAGCTTCTTCTCAGTTGGCTGGAAAAGATGGCCCTTACAAAACCTATTGTGGGAGTCCTGTGAGCAAGGTATTTACCTTACATGCAATGCCCAACAGATTTCATGTGGAATGCCCACAGTTTCAGTTGTTCCAAGCAAACTCTGGATGAGTTGCATTTCAGGAAATTTTTTGTCTATAAAATAAGAAGAATCAAATCTCTTAAAATATAATTATTTGATCTTTTTTCATGTAATATGAATAAAAGAAATGTGGCTTCTATGATCGGAAGTGATATTATTAACATCCTGTGATGGTAGACTGGAATTTTTTACCATGTGCTCGACTAATTATTTCCTGTTGTTCCTGGATCATTTCAGTGAGTATAATTATGATAGACATAAATTTAATAGGCAGTACCATGCAATCTTCAATTGTCAAACTTCTGTGATGCATGCCATATTGCCCATAGAAAGAGATATGGAATGAATAAGGACAATGGATTTACAAAGTTGAAGTTCACTTTCGTTCTTTTCATTTAGGGAATACTTCAGGTAGACATGTGGGGTGTAACACCATCACATCACTGGGATTGGGATGGTCTTAGAGAAATGATATCTAAGAATGGAGTGAGAAATTCTCTTCTTCTAGCACCTATGCCAACTGCTTCAACCAGCCAGATTCTTGGCAACAATGAGTGCTTTGAGCCTTATACCTCCAACATCTACAGTCGAAGAGTTCTAAGGTTTTTATGGTTTTTTTTTTTTTTGAAAAGCTTTAAGGTTTTCATGTTTGTAGTGATTTGGCTCTTCTAAACATGACTCATCTGTCTGCAGCTAATCCCCTTTATTTTCAGTGGTGAATTTGTTGTAGTGAACAAGCACCTGCTTCATGATTTGACAGAAATGGGCCTTTGGTGTCATTCTCTTAAGACCAAGATACTTTACCACAATGGCTCAATTTCTAAAACACCAGAAATACCTGATGAGCTGAAAGCCATTTACAAGTACAGATATTTATGGCTCCTATCTATTACTTTTTGAACTGCCGTATAATGCATCATTGTATCATTCTATGATAGTATTGGCATCTAATACCAGGACAGTGTGGGAGATCAAGCAAAAGACCCCGGTTGACATGGCTGTTGATCGGGGATGCTATATAGATCAGAGTCACAGTTTGAATATTCACATGGAGCAACCTGATCCTGGAAAGCTTACTTCCTTGCATTTCTATGCTTGGTCCAAGGTTTCATTTCTTTATGAAAAGTTTTGAAATTTAAAATTTACAATTGTGAATGGCCTAAAAAAACAGAAATTTACAATTATTTTAGGAGAGTCCCAATAGTTGATTTGACATTTTTATTGCAAATTAGTTAATGAGGTTTCTGCTGTTGTTTCATTCCATAATTTAATGCATTGCGGAAATTCTACTTTTTCAAATTTGATACTTATAAAACAATATTCATCTTTTAATTCCTCTCTTGTCTGTTTTCTTGTAGATAACATCCATTCTCATCTTTTTTCCTCTAGGGTCTCAAAACAGGGATGTATTATCTGTGAACACGTGCTGCAGCAGATGCCATCAATTTACTGTTGATACTTCTGTTCTTAGCAATATAATTCTCTCTCTCCTCTAATGTTTCATCTTATAGGGGATTGGATCTGGCATTCCAATATGAAGTCATCAAAGATAAGTCATGCGAAAATAATGTAGCAACTTGAAAGGAACCTGTTATATGACACTTCAAATATAATATTTTGGATTTATCTTTTTCCTTTTCTTATTTTTCTTTTCTTTTATCATTTCGTGCTAGATTTAAAGAAATATTTATACCTTAAATCAAGTTATAACAATAAAGAATTCTCTTCTTTTATATAACTGTCAATAGCATCTACTTTGTAGCTTCTATATATATTATTGACATGACATTTTGGTAAATTTGTGGTAAAATACAGGAAAACGATAACAAGGTAAGCAATGATGTCAATGCCTATATGGCACAGACTTTATGTTCATTGCAAAATGGAGGAGTGTTCATGGCTTGTGGAAGTTAGAATTCCTTTTTGTCAGATATTTTTAGTGAAAATCTTATTGACAGATGAGAGCAGTGGCAGTTTACTCTTGAGCATCAATCACCTTCGAAATGGAAATAAAGAGATAAAGATAGTGTAAGTATAGATCTGACCATCTTAAAACTACAGGATAGTCAAGCATGTTTTATCCATATAGCGTTTTGGCATGAGCTCTTAGGTGGCTTCTGTTCACAAGGGTGTTGTGAATTAGCAAGCATGCAAAGTTCATAGTCTTTGGTAAATGTTTGTAGAAGAAAATTTGCATTATATTGTATAAAAGTCTCTGTTGTTTTCTGCTGATGCTTGTTTAATCTGATGGTCACATGCACCATTAATGTTGTTGTTGATCTCTCTTGTGTATATAAGTTTATCTATAGTCCTTGGATGAGGTTTGAACCACCTTTCTTGGCCTTGATTTAGGAATTTTTGTAGACCAATATAACATATACTGTCTTGAACAGTTGGCGATAATGCAATCTTCTGATCGAGGTTCATTTGTAAGGAAAAGCTGTAATAGTTGTCTAGAGAAATTTTCTCTTTTTCATTTTGTTTGATTTTTGATGTTAAGGAGGAGTCATGTTTAATCTTTTATCAAACATGTAAATTTTTAAGATGAGTTTTGGACCTAAAATCAGTTGGCAATAGGTGTGGACGACCTCGTGTGTGATTTATTTTATCATGGCTTAACAGTCCCCCTCCCGTGTAGAGATAATGACCACATTATGTGGCTTAAATTTCACGCGAAAGGATAACAAACTTATCATCCGGCTTAGGCATAGCAAGCCTATCGTGCAGGGGTCAATAAACAAGGGCAGCTCTTTCTATGATAGTTAAATTTGAAAACCCATTGATAATGGATGTAGAGTCCCTCCTTATTTTCAAGTGTCTAGGATAACCGGAATTTAATCAGTGTTTGATTTATTTTACAACCACTTAAATGTTCTTTAATAGAGACCTAATTAATGCATTGTACACTTTGTGAATTGCCAGCCATTTCAAGCACTATTGCAAATGAATTGAGCTTCATTATAAAATCATTTGATGAAATCTTCTAAGTGATGCTTGTTCATAATGAACACCGCCAAATTTGAAAATCCTTCGAGGAGAACTAGGTTTGGAAAGGTTTACTGAAAATAGTGCATTGCATTTAGCGTTGATTATTTTTATTTGACTTTGACATTACCTGGATGAAAACAAAAGCGGAGACGTTTTTTTATTTGCCATGCTGTGAGACATGGATATCGTTCTTTGCTGAAAGTCAACTAAATAGAATGGTCTTGAGATGAACATTGGTTTTTAGGTAGATTTTGTTTTTGTTGGTTTGGAAATTTTCTCCGCACCGGCGCCTCTTTCTATTGGACTCAAACAAGCAAGTGGCATTCATTGACGATCATATATAGTTTCTTTCTATTTTTATTTTCCTATCTCTGGGTTTTGCTTCTATAGAGAATCATGTTTCTGCCAGTCTGATGATTGGACATTGCTAGCATAGTGGATATATACTGAGTTTGATGCGGAGAATGACTTGATAGTGACAGCACCTGGCAGTAGATTATTGATATGCGGCGCTGATAAGAAATCAGCCATTAACTTTAGATGTTTTTGGACTACTTTCTGATAAGCACTCTCTTTGTAGCCTTTCCACTGTAGGCAAAACTGGTAAAGTTAGTATAGGGATTGCTTCAAGATATTTGTACATTATTATCGTGACCCACTTTAAATCATGCTAATTAGAAGAAATTCATGTGAAAGCAGTTTAAATATTCTAAATGAAGACCAGCTGAGAGGACCTCATGCTGAGGAAAACTTAATCATATGCTGGTAGCTGCTAATTCGTTCTCTTTGTTCAGTAAGAAGCTGAAAATGCTGTTAAATCAAATGAGTTGGTTCTACTCGTGATCCATGATTAGATTCAACTGTTGAAGCCGCCAATTGTAGAGGCTTACCTAGTTGCTTTCTTAGTTTGTTCACAGGAAAGAAAACGTATGCTCTAATCTGACCGTAGGAGCTTCTAAAATTCTGAAATGGCAGGTTGCAGGTTTACTGTAGCTGAAATTGCATTTAAAGTGGTGCTTGTTTTCACTCTCCGGACTGTTTTAGCTTCTATCTCCAGATGAAAAGGACTTTGAGAGGCATTTCTTTTTGACTCTGCCATTGGTGTTATTATTTGCTCTGCTTATTGGTTACGCTGTTTATTTCTAGTCCAAAGGGAAAGGTAAGGAACTTCCCTACGTTTGCACCCATTTGATTCCATTGGTCCAAGTGCACCGCATCCAGGACAAGACAAGAACAGATGTTCGACTTTCTGCTTGGAGCACGCATGTTAGTCGTTTCAGTACTTTGAAGGAATCATCGAAGAAACCTGCAAGAATTTCGGAGTTATTACATGGCAATTAGAAGATATCGCCAGCACGAAAGATGAGGACAAACAAGAAAGAGTCCAACTTCAAAAAGTTGGAAGTGCTTTGATTGCCAAGTCATTTTCAGGACACAAGTGTTGGAGCTTATCTTTGCAATCTTGATTTCATTACCGTGCTCTTTGGCCAGGATGTTGTAAAAGTGAACCCTTTTTCTGCCAGGATTTCGGGAGTTAAACAACCTTAAAACCTTGTGTAGATGCGCGCGGGGCATGCGTTTCAACTTTGTGAAAAGTTTGACAAATAGACAAGCCAATGGAAGCCACCGCCGGACAATCATACTTTTGACTGGGGGCTATGCTCTCACGCTGATCCTGAACCACTTTCACACTGAAGCTGGCTATGGATGGAAGTGCCCAAGTGAGGTTTTCACAATCATTTGCTTGCAAAACAAAAAAAACGTTTTAACGGAATGTTTCTATTCCTGGATGGCCCAGAGAGCTGAATGCCAATTGCCAGAGCCTCAGGCCTGGGTGGAATGGTGAATGAGTGTATAGCATCTCTCACCAAAAGATGAACATCGCGGTATTAAAAAAAAAAACAAAACAAAACAAAAAACAAATAGGTGGGGTTGACAGTGAGAGGCCGGTGACTGAATTGATGAAAATGTTTAGATGCAACGAACTTGAACACAAGGGATACACATCGCAAGTGCCAGAAGCGGCTTATGGTGATCTATTAAGTCATTGCAAATTTGACTCTTCCAAGGTTTTTTTCTCTTTCTTTAGCTTCACTTTTGGTCCAACTAAAAAACTGGTTGCACCGTCCATGCTGAGCTGCAAACCAAAGGTCCTTATCAGATAGATTGTTCATGGTCACGAGGAAGAAAGGCCACACCCTCAAATCAGCACATGCTCTTCTCTTTTCTGTGTATATGAGATTTGGCTAACGGCGCTGGAAGATCTTATCTTTGACATTTTGAGTTCAAAAATCGTTTTCTACAGGATCAAGACTGGACTACTTGTCAAAGTACCTGCTAGTTTGATTTAACCTGGCAACATATACTTTGTTTTAATTCGTAAAAAGAGAATTCATTTTAACTTTTGCCTACGTGTACATACTACTGAATTACATGTTCAGATGTTATTGATTTATATGCTCCGATAGAATTGATAAAGACTTATTAAGCATTTAGGAAAATTGGGTTAGAAAATATATATCCATATTTGAGCCTTAATACTTTTGTACTAAAAATAGAGGAGAGAAAAGCATCAATGAGTTAAGAGTATCTCCGTACCAATTTTGACATTTGCTCAGGATTGTATATAGGTATATATATATATATATATATATATATATATATATATATATTGTCTCATTTCTTTATAAAATTGGAGATGTTGAGATTGAATTTAGACATTGTATAGAGAGAGAGAGAGTTTCATTATCTAAATGACCATGGAACATATGTAATTTTTAAAAAGTGGTTATATATGAATATAGGTGTCCATGGGCTGTTGAGTTTGATTGACACCTCTAAAATCAAATTCGGTTAGACTTGATTATTTAAATTTATTATCAAAATATAAAAAATATAAATAATTTAAACATTTTTAAACATATTTTAAAATTCAAATAATTTTTATTAATATAATAATATAACGAAATAAGTTGAGTCAAAATGGAGTCTTAAAAATCTTATCTAAGATGCTACCAAAGTCGGATCAAACCAATGGACCTGATGTCTTTGGACAAGTCAAAATGTTTTTTATGTTAATTAAAAATTGTGATGAAAAAAATAAGGTTTGTACGTGTTTGGCTTTATCATGATAAAGGGACGGGACAAGATAAACTGTCTATTAAAAAACCCATCCTGACAGAAATAAAATTGAATAAATGCATAGAAAACATAAAGAAAAATTAAAGAATTGTCTGACGTTGATTTTGCTTCATAATATTCACGTTCAATCCCAAAATTAAACAACTTAGAAGCCTACGTTTTGATCAAAACAAGTTGTTTATTGTAAATTCCATATCTGCTTTAACCAATATTGTGTTTGTGGCCAAAGTCCAAGAGCCACGCAATCAAACAGAATTCCAAATGCAATTGCCTTAATCGAAGCAACTTATCAATTGGTCTTTTTTCTTTGTTTGTTTCTTATAAAGAAAATATGAAGAACTTCAGTTTATCAAGCATTTTGTTGCGGACCACTGACGTCGGCAAATACTTTCTTTTTGTTCTCGAAAGTAGGATGGGGCATGTCATAGTAGGATTTTCTAGTAAGGGATTGGATGATGTTCCTCTATTAGGATTTGCCCATTTGTTGTATATCCTTGATGGATTAATCCACGCAATCATATTTATGGGCAACATTAACTGTTAGAATTGTTTTGGGTGAAGTAGTTTTTTACATTGTCGGACATAAAAATAATTAAAAAATAAAATTAAAAAAAAAAAAATATTTGAAAGGTTTTAAAACTATTTAATAAAATTTAAATAAGGCGACCCCAACCTTTTAAGGTTTCCAGTTCAACCGTTTTGTGAGGAGGGATTTCCCGTAAGCCAAGCCAAGCAAACATGGTTGTGAATACTTCCAAGAAGGAGAGGAAAATTCAAATAAGGTATTATTATTCTTTTGCGTTCAATCAAATTTATTTATTTTAATTTTAAATTAAATAAATATATAAATAGCGATTAATTAATTATTATTAGTTAAAATGTTATTTGTCATGTTATAATCATGTGATATTAAAATGAAAGATAAAATTGTAAATGATCATATCATCATATCACGTATCCATTCATTATGATATATTAACATATCATATCAATATCTTGTAATATAAAATAATAAGTAATATTATAATTAATAATAATTATTTAATTATTAATTATAAGACCTTATTTAGCTGAAAATAAACATATAAAAACTTGATTGGGCGTAACGAAAGAATAAAAATTTATTTTAATTTTTTTAAATAGTTTACCAATTTTTTTAAGTATTATATCAAATAAAAAATAAATCAAAACAAAACTTTTAATAACATAAATAAATTGCAATATTTTATTTGCACTTAGACATTATACTAGCTGTCAAGATTAAATAAATAAATAAATAAATACTACTAAATAGATTGGTCCATCCAATGTACCATCGGCAAAACCAGCTACAGTTGGTTTTAGTCCACGTTTGTATTTGATTGAGTGCCGATCTTATGGTGTAAAGATGAGTTAAATAATATATAGAAAGATAATTAAATTTCCCATCCACCTCAAATTAATGCACGCATCTACTCCCAATTTAAAGCACTAATCGATTACTTTCCCTTTTTGTAACTTTGGCCTTGTGTTTCACACTACTTTCTTGTAAGAAATTATCAGGAAAGTTCATCCGTAACCTAAAAGCCATAGAGAAGAGAACGTTGGAATCTCACTTTTGGAAAGTAATCCCCATCCCCCATTATCAATTCAAAATTCGAGCTTCTGAATTCAACATCTACTTGAAGCTAACTTCTATGAGGCTTTAGTTCATCTCATCAGTGACAAATTTTATTTATGTATTCTTTTAGTTCACAATGCAAAGCGTGATGCACGGAAAATGGGGGGCCATTTAACCTACACATTTATTTATTTTATTGTATATTTGGAATATTCTTGATATGGATAACTGATTTATACCCATCCAGATGTCTGTATTCTTTCATCGAAATCGAACTATACTGTTAAAAAAGAATTTAATGGGCTAAAGCTTTTGACACCTTTTAAATCCGAGAAATGAAAAAAAAATTAAAAAATCATAACCAATGCATTGTTGAGAAGAATTAAATTATGAATCATATCATATTAATAATTCGATATAATTGTATCATGCTATAAGTGTATTATATTTGTCGGTGGATGTATTGAGTAGCAAGTTAAATGAAGTATGAATTGCTAGGAGTCGCTATAAGTGCTGATGGCAAGGAAGTTAAGGATGCTGCTGGAAATCCACCATGGGTGCGGTGTTGCTTGATATCTCATTACCTCAAGTGCTGTGAGATCTGTTACACCAAGCTTGTTGGTCAACGAGTTTGACTGCAATGGATTGGTATCCAGAGGAACTCTCACTCCGTAAATTACTTCTATTATCAACTACATTACGGAGGATTCTGTAAATATAATATTATTTTGCCTGAATTTAAAAGAAAAAATAAGCATTTGTCATTAAAAAAAAAGAAAGAAGGTATACACATTCTCCCCTCTCCGTTCAAAATATGGGTTCTTCTTTTCCTTTGAAACAGTAAATATAAAGGTCGAATTACGACAAATGCCCCATGGGGATAGAACTAAGGGGAATTTGATTACACGTGGAGCTGAGTATGATTTCAACCATCTTTTCCCCCAATTAACACGATTTGCTTTATTATAGCTTATACGATTTAATCATTCTTTGTTTATTGTTGTCCCTCGTGGGATTGGCATGTGTCCACGTTTTGGGCCTCTTTATTAACTCATCCTTGTGCCATTTCCTGGCTTTTTGTGTTTTGAGTGTCTCATCTTCACTTCCAAGTCTTTGAACCTGACCCCATTTAGGCCATTCGGGCCACCTACCTCCAAGCCAAGTCCCTTTCCCCAGTCAACTTTGATTCATTTAACTATTATTTCTTCTTTTGACTGAGATTTTGATAACTTGTTTTTTCTAATTAAATTAAATTTTTGCTAATGAAATATTGTCTCTATGATAACGAAGAGATTTTGAAACTTTTAAGTCTCAAATTCAAATTTCATCAAATGTGAATTTAATCTAATTTTCTGTTAACTTGTTTAATTAATTTATTCACTATTGATTTATTTTAATAAATATAATATGTGCTTATATGTAAAAATTATTTGAATGTAACTGAACTTAATATGTGAAAATTGTATGAGGAGTGATAGCTTTTGTTAGCTCCTTGCATGCGGAACTAGCAAGTAATTATCAAAATACGTACGGCTCCACGGCAGGAGGAAAGTATAGTCTTAGCTATATATTTCCCCTTCTCTGTAGGCGGCTGACATTTGGAATGGTTCCTCGGCCGCATGGGAAGAACAGTTGTGATCGCAGCATGAAATGTATTTTGATTCCATTGAAAAGGTAGGGATGTGAGGAATTTATGGGAGCTGTTAGAGTTCACCAAAGCTTACTCCTTCAAAGGGATGCATTCAATGATTTGAATACAAAAGTGTTTGTATACTTGACGTGAGATTACCAAGAGCATCATTGAAATGATAAAAAGTATGTAGTGTTCCTTTTCCGTGAAGATGTAGTTTTGAGTTAAAATTCTTCTTCTCTTATATTAATGAAATAAGATCAAACCCACACATAGCACACATGTATTAAAAAAAATTAAATATTGTAAGAATTAAAAATCAACAATCACTAAAATGAATAATATTATGAAGAAATTGTGAGAGATTATTTTTCTCATAAGCTCAATTTTAAAATATTATTTTTCATAATTTTAATTATTTTTAATCAATTTTTGACATGATTTGATAATAATGCCTTTTAAACAATTTCAAAAAAATTAAAACGGTTTCGGTTTTCTATATCCCGCCATCTAGACAAAATTTTAAAATTAAATCCCGATTTTTCTCTTTTACCAAATATTGTCTATCTCATCATCTAACTCTTTCTCACTATCCCAAAAGGCAGAAATGATATCAATGTATGTGTTTTAAATTTTTAGATTTATTGGTTCTGTAAGAAAGCAAATCAATTAATTATTAGGTATTACAGTATTGGTTTTTAGACATTATGTCATTGATTTTTAAATATTATTAAACTGATTTTTAAATATTACGTGACTTAATCATTGCGTCTTTTATTTTTAGGCATTACATAATTGGTTTTTAGGCATTGCCTGATTAAGTTGTAGGCACTGTGTGACTGACTTTTAAGCAGTACCTATGTCACACAATGCTTAAAAACTAATTACGCAATGTCTTAGTAACTAGTCACCCAATGCCTTACTAACTAATCACGCAATACTCTATTAACCAATCACGTAATACTTAAAAATTAGTTACGTAATGCTTAAAAATTAGTTACATAATATTTAAAAACTAATCACGCAATGTCCAAAAACTGATTACATAATGCTTAAAAACAACTAAAACTACTGAATTCTGTTTAACAAAATCAATAACTTCAAATAACACACCATACTCTATTTAACAATATAATCAATGAATATGTCTACTTA